TATCCTGGGGCCAGGTGCCAGGCAACCCACCAAAATTATTCAAACTAGTCAAGCCTAAACTGTTCACCTGTGCTACCTTGCCCTACCCAAGGAAATCCCAATAAAAACAGTGGCCTAAACCTTCCCTTCCTCCTGTCTCCTGCCACCTGACCACCCTGATGTCCTTCCCATGTGGCCCTGTGTGGCCTGCCATGCTTGTAATCTATAGGACCCGTGAGTGTAACAAACGTGTTTTTTTCCTTAGCCTTTCACCTGTCTTCTCTTTTGGCCACACCTGGCTCTACCATAAAAGAATACAAAATAGTCGTGTAAAGTCATGTTTTCTACAGCATCATTATGATTCTCACCAGTCTTACATTTGGATCTCATTTCCAGCTCTTTCTATAAATGGACAGTTTCCTCTCCATGTACTATTCTCAGAAAAATGCATATCGAACTGATAACAGTCCCTATATGAGCTGCAGGGACAAAGGGCTAGAATCGAGGGTGATCCTCAAAGCAGGTTTAAGCCTCATCTGTAAATGTCCTAATGTTTTATGACAGATAAATACAAATATTCATTATTATATTAAAATTTCGTTTAATTCAAAACCCTGGATCTTGCCTCTGGTTTAGGCGATCCATTTCCTGTGATGTTATTGCGACTTCTTTTCCCCCAAACTTAGGTTTTCCAGTGTTTCCTGTGTTACTAGGCACAGGCATATTCTTAAAATCCTTCCCCTCCTCTACTTCCATTATGAGGTAATATTTCAGTGTATTTCCTCTGGGTCAAGAGTGTGTATGAATATACGTATATATTTATATACAATTTGAACCTTGCTTCTATATATAAATACATTGAACTTACTCATTTTTGACTTCCAAGCCTGCCCCGGTCTATGTAATAGTAATTCCACGTGTATGTTTAGCACTTCAGAATCCACAAAGCAATTTATTTTTCTTCTCAATCCCCAGAGTAGTCCTCTGAGGTAAGCAGAGTCCACCCTGACCTCCAGCTTCCTTGCTACTTTTACCTCTTTTTCTTACAACATGGCAAATTACTCCTTCCTGGTAAGCCACTACCTATAACAGAGTAGGAGTATTATCTCCATCACTTTCAACCTCTCAATTCCCTCTTTCCCTATTACAGAGCCTCTAGGGTGATACGGATATCTGCAGAAAAAAATAATAAACAGAAAATAAGCCTTCATTATAAAGTGGCATTATTTGTGAAAAAAAAAAAAAAAGGCGAGGGAGGGCCTGTTTATGGCAAAGACAAGAGACTAAAATTGTATTTTATAATCCTATTACATTTTTAAAAAGTAAACGATTGAATTTATTATATTATAGAGGTAGATGGAATATATTATTCACTGAGAAGTCATTTAAGGAATGTGTGTATATTTCTGATATTAGAGGGGTAGGAAAGAGCATTTACAATAGTTTTCTAATTTGTCTGTTTTATTTCTATCTCTTTCCCCCCCTCAAATCCATCTGTCATAATGTGTCATAATATTATCAAGATATTTATAAAATACAGACTTGATTTTAAAATATTGCCCTGATTAAAAACCTTTGTTGGATCTTTATCACCTACAAAATCAAGTCTGAATCTGCCTTTCTTTTATAGCCCATGAAATGCTTGAAGAACAAGACCATACTGTGTTCACCCTGTAACCTCAGTGCCCAACGTGGCGTCTATTAGACATTCAATGTTGGTTTTATCAATGATTGAATCATCATTCACAGTGCTGTAAGAAAGAACTGCTCTCATCGCTGTTGTTGTAGTCCTTGATGTGAGGATGCTGCTGTCTCTTAGTCACAGAAGGGACTGTGAGAGATTGGCACTGTACGCTCTTCCTTACCCTCCCATTCCAGGGCTGCTCAATTCTCAGCAAATTGTTCCCACCTGTCCACCTCCCAGGAATACTTAGTGTTTGGTATTAGATAATGATTATTAAATTGCCCATCAGCTTTCTTCTGGTGGGAAATCCTTAATTTGTTCTATAATTCTTTTCTTAATTCCCTTTTCAATCCTTCTATCAACCGGTCATAATTAGTGAAGATAAATTGTTTGGCACATAGTACTGAATTCAGGGTTAGCCCACCCACCTCCCACAGTCTTGGAGACCTAGAGGCATGAAAGAAATACAGAAGGAGGACAAGTAAGGACATGTGAATTAGAGAAATAAAAAGTACATATGGCACCATTAGGAGGGAAAGGCCGTGGGTAGGTTGTCAATGATCTGTTCTAAAGAAAATAAAAAATAGAAAAGTGAAATAAAACAAGAGGATGCCTATAGGGAACATGCTATAGTGAAATGACTTTCACACATTTTTTTTTCTAGACATAGAAATCTTACTTCCTAAGTCTGTGGTAGAGATGGTGAATTGTTAAATCCAACTTCCATTCTTAATGCTACGGTCTGAATGTTTGTGCCCTCCCCCAAATTCATATGTTGAAATCTAAACCCCCAAGGTGATGGTTTTAGGAAGTGGGACCTTTGGGGTGAGTAGGTCATGAGGGTGGAGCCCTCATGAATGGGATTAGTGCCCTTACAAAATAGGTCCCAGAGAAACCCTGACACCTTCCACTATATGAACCAGAAAGAAGACTCCTACCAGACACGGAATCTGCCTGCACCTTGACCTTGAACTTCCCAGCCTCCAGACTGTAAGCAATACCTTTCTGTTGTTTCTTAAGTTACCCAGTCTAAGGTATTTTGTTATAGCAGCCCGAATGGACTAAGACGCTTAGTAACAGGACCCTGAATGCATTTGGGACAGCAATATGTTCAACCAAAGGAGACTTTGCCAGCTTCTCTGGCAGAGGCTGCGACTAAGTATGTCCAATAAGGTATAAGTGGAAGTGACATGTGGGGCTTCAGCAAGTCTGTATAACTGTGAAAAGGTACACCTTTTAAAAGCTGTTTCTTCCTGCTGTATACAATGTAGATATAATGACTGATTTCAGGCAGCTGTTTTGGACTATGAGGAAGCATCCTAAGGGATAGCAGAGCAATAAGGAGAAGGAAACCTGGGTCCCTGATGCTGAGATCCAACAGCCCTGCAGAGTCACGGCTGTGGAGCCCACCAGGACTGCCCATCTCTAGACTTCTAATGGGAGAGAAATAAACTTCCATCTAGTCTAAACCACAGTTATAATATTTTGTGTTTTCTGCATTTACTCCTGATAAACTACTCTTGGCCTCAAGGGGCTTAAGATCCGGAACAAGAACACCTGGCATAATGTAAAGATTTAATAGAAAGGCAGACTCATTTCTCTATTGAATTTATGAAAATAAAGTTATTGAATTTATGAAAAATTAAGCTGCAAGAAAGTAATGTTTTAAATTTACCAGGGAAGCTAACTCATTAAAAGCAATATTATAAAATGCATATATGAACATGGACACATAGAGAAAGGTGTGGAAGGATGCATGTTGGGCTGTTAATATTGATTACACATATTTGGATTTTTACTTCTTACAATGACCAAGTAATACTTTTGAGGTTTAAAAAATTAAAACAGAAGACATTTTAAAATAAGACGATTAATTAATAAATATTTCTATGAAGGATTTATCTATATTGATTTTTTTAAGGGGAAATTCTATATATTTTTAGGCCCTTAGATACCTGGATTCTCATTCCTGAGCCACTAACAACTAGATGTGGAATCTTGGAGAAGTCATTTAAACTCTCTGAACCTTAGTAAAATGGGAATGTTAATGAATTAACTTTAAAGTTCCTTCCAGCACTAAAATTCTGTAAATTTAATGACACATTTGCTTCAATAAATATTTTCTTGCACTTCTCCAATCTGACTTTTATGAATTCAAAAGTTGTTAAAATGAGTTAGATACACAGTTCTTCTTTGTTGATTTCTGAGATGGGTGACCCCAAATATAAATGCTATAGAAGAATAAGGCAGATAACTACAAACACCACCCTTTCCTATGTTTCCATAATAGCTTTTCCGTACACATAACCCAGTAATTCTTAAGGTGCTATACTTTTTTGATTTCCATGTCTGTTCTGTGGTTTGTGAGCCCCAGGGGTGGGTTTAATGGCAGGAAATTCATCTCCCTTGTGCCATGCACTGGCCTGAATATACAGGAGGTGATTAATAAATGCTCACTGAAGAAGTTAGTGAGAAAAAGAAGGTTTGTGTAAAAAGATTCCGATTCTAAAGGAAAAAGATGACTAATCTTGTTACCAATAACTTGAAATCTGATCTCTTTTCTTTGTAATCAAGTTTAATTGATTTGTGATGTATTCATTAATCACAAAAATTTTAGGAATTATTGATAATCTTTGCAAACTTTATTGGCTTTTAGGTTGTTGCCAGATTAATTCAGCTATGAAGGAAAAAAAGAGTGGATTTCATGCTAGCGTGGATCAAAAGCACTTGTTCTGTCCCTCGATTGTGATCTGGAGAGACAGGGATACCTTCAGCCCGTTCTGGGAGATGAGGCGAGAGAATGTGAGGATCTCAGCCTAGTCCATCTGCGGGGACTGGGCAAACTCTGGTGGGGAAATCTCATCTGAGGTCCTTGTCTAAGTGAGGCAAGGCCAGTGCCATGTACGAGAACTAGGGACTACCTCATTCTCACTGTTGCCCTATGTGCCATCTGAATTAATGGCATACATTCTCCTCCCAAGGAAAAGCAAATAAGAAAAGTGACAAAGGGCTCATGGCTTTAATTCCAACTATAAACTCTGACATTTTTCTTGACCTCTTCCTTGGTAATTGTTTGTCTAGTCCTGAGTCTATGTAAGAGCAGCTCTGACCCCAAAAGCATTCTAACAATGTGCCCTAAAGCCAACATTGCTGAACCCTTCCAACAAAGCAAGAGGTAGTCTGAGTATCATTTATATATGCTGTCCTCATAGAGAGACACACCAAATTTTAAAGCTCTTATAAACAGAGAAATTAGGAATTTTATAAAATCAGATTGTAAAATAAAAATTGACATCAAATAACAGTAATAGTAAAACATTAGTATTAAAGAGCTTACCGCAGTACCCTGGGGTTCCACATACTGTCTTCATGAGCACTTGATGTTCCACAATTTTAGAGAGTCCAAAATCAGCTAACAACACAAGAAAAAGAATTTAATGAAGCAAGTCTTTTCTCAGCTTTTATAAGATGACAGAATGCTTGCTATTCCAAACTAAAACTAATTTATTTATTTGTTTGTTTGCTTTTGTATTTGAAGGTGGGGTAGATGTGGGTGTGATGAATTACCTGAGGAAGCTAAAACAAAATTAATTAAAGTGTTTCTTTATTTTATTTTATTTTTATTTTTTTGAGGCAGGGTCTCGCTCTGTTGCTCTGGCTGTAGTGCAGTGGCATCACCGTAACTCACTGAAACCTCAAACTTCTGGGCTCAATTTATCCTCCTGGCTCAGCCTTCCCAGTAGCTAGGACTACAAGCATGAACCACCACACCTGGATTATGTTTTTAAAATTTTTTGTACAGACAGGGCCCAGATATTTTGCCCCTGGCCTCAAGGAATCTTCCCCATTCAGCCTCCCAAGGTGCTGGGATCACAGGTGTTAGCCACGGACACCCAGACTCAAATGTTTCTTTAAATTGGAGAAAAATAGGCCAGGTGTGGTGGCTCACTCCTGTAATCCTAGCACTCTGGGAGGCTGAGGCGGGTGGATAGCTCAAGGTTAGGAGTTTGAGACCAGTCTGAGCAAGAGCGAGACCCCCGTCTCTACTAAAAATAGAAAGAAAATTAGCTGGACAACTAAAAAATATATAGAAAAAATTAGCCAGGCATGGTGGTGCATGCCTGTAGTCCCAGCTACTCAGGAGGCTGAGGCAGGAGGATTGCTTGAGCCCAGGAATTTGAGGCTGCTGTGAGCTAGGCTGATGCCACAGCACTCTAGCCCAGGCAACAGAGTGAGACTCTGTCTCAAAAAATAAAAATAAATAAATAAATTGGAGGAAAAATGTGACTCCCAAATACATTTACGAGTAAATCTATATTTAATTTTACTCTTCTCTATAATTCCCAGCCTTTAGCAAATATGCTTTTTTTAAAAGTAATATTTATATTTTGTCTAATGCTATTAATTTTGAAATTTATGTAACAGTAGCTTTAAGGGACAATACAGAATTAGCACTATAATTCAGAACCTTTATTTCATTGAGAGAGATAAAAATTATATTTTCATAAATGTCATGAGAATAAATAAAAATATCAAAAGGTTTATTCTGCTTGAAAATAAATAATGTCAGTTCTTCATGTATTTGACTTATAAGAATTTACTCTCATATGAACACTAATCCTTTTATTTATGTCTCAGAATATTACCTAGGTAAAATATCACCAAAAATTGCTACCATCATGGTCTATTTGCTGGGCTACATCTCTCTTATTCAGGAAACATCAGGAAACCGGTCAAGGCCATTCTTCAAGAGAAGCAGGTGCAGAATGGATTCCATTTTAGACTTCAAAGATAAACCCACATTTTCACACAGGTGCCTGATTCTTATCAGTGAAAGCAGCAGGAAGCCCTTCTGAAAGAAAGGCTCTCCTGCCTAAATTAGTATCTATCCATCCGTTTAAAGACATTGCTTAAGGATCAACTCTTTGAAAGCGATGTCAAAGGAAATGGAAACTGCCTGCTGTCCACTGCCGTACAGGAGTGACTATGAGAGCAAGCTGGCTGCCCAGCAGGGCTTTCAGGGTTTTTTCTTTGAGTTCTTGGATTCATAAAGCACATTATGTCTGAGGTCTCCCCTGATATGAACAATTTAATTTTCAAAGGTGTTAACACTTGTAAATGCAGTGAACTTGTCAGATTAGCACGATAAAGGACAGCACCAGAAAAGCAATGCCCTTCAGAGGATTTAATACAGATTCTACTAAGAAGAATTCATCAAAAATAAGTTTTATATATTTTTTTTTGTAAATGAAAATTTGCTTTGGAAGACACATGGAAAGCAATATTTAATATATTTTTTCTAAGATGCCAATTTAAAGATTTCTTTGAGTAGATCAGAATTTCTCAAAGTTCATCTTTGTATTGTAGTTCTTCAAAATGCATACTGGAGAAACAAAGATAGGTTTCCAGAGTCAAATAGGTGTAGGAAAAGCCTCATAGTGCACTATATAACATGTCAGTCTACGCATTAGCATTATTAGGGTTCTGGGGAGTCCTACAGAAACAAAAATCTTGTTTAACTTTGTTTAAATTGGCATTTTTTAACTTACTTGACCAACCATAGTACCCCTGCAAATCATTCTCACCTCCCCAAAGACAGAGTTAGTTATTGACTCTTATTCACGCTGCTAAGGAATGAGCATTCTGTGGAGTGCATTTTAGGAAATACAGATCTTAATTTATCTCTGTTCATATAAACAAGTGACTCGGAGCCTAGATTCACTAACAGGTACTAAGTATTTTATGTGAAAGTTCTTGATTATCTAAAATTAAGCTCCAAATAATTTGTGGAATAAATGTTACTATCCCCAAAACAAATGTTAGGTTTTCTGTCATTTTCTTTACTATAAATTTATCTACAAAATACAAGGTCATCTCCTGAGGTCCTTGCCATGTCTAAGAGTTGTGATTCCTTTGTGTGCCCAGCAATGGAGCACCAACTTCTAGGCACTAATGTCCAGATTAACATTCTAGAAAAGAGCACAAACTTTCTAAACAGTGCATATTCCTTTATAGATGTCAGATATTCAAAGATATTGAATGTAGGCAAAACTGGATAGAGCAATGTTTAAAAATTCCACAGAATAAATTTCTTCTGCTCTGGGAAAAGGGATTATGAAACATCAGGAAATGTTCTCACCGATTTTGAGTGGTGCATCTGGGGCTGGAGTTGCATAGAGAAGGTTCTCTGGTTTGAGATCACGATGGACAATTCCATTTTCATGTAGGTACTAAATAAGAAAAATAATGAAGTAACATTTGTGTAATTCTATTTATGGTTCTAACATCTATACTTAATCTTTAAGAACTATAAGTTATGTGATTCAAGAACACACATATGATTTAAAAATCAATGCCATAAAGGAAAATATGTTTTAAACTATACATTAAAGAATACCTTATAGTTACCTAAATGTGATGAAATTTAAATTGTATGGAATCAATTCCCAGAATGAAACATTTACTCCTAAGAGAATGTTAGTTATAGTTCTTTTTATGCATTATTACCATATCAACTGGAATTGGCTAATTATCATAATCAAGTCAAGGTGCTCCGTATTGAAATTTGTCTGGTTTATTATCTGAAAAGCATAATTGTATGTGTGGTCTTAGAAACTCACAACCATAGCGAAGACTTCATAATTATTATTTGAACAGACATTTAGATATAAGTAGTTATTATACAGAACTATCCTTAATAAGATAAATATTCTTTGATGATGATGAATGCTCTCATAGGCTCTTCTGAGAATTAGTAGATACAATTGTTAATATAGTTGTACTTGAGATGAACCTTAAAGATCACCTCTAGCAACTCCACTCATGTTTTTGTATTTTAAATTATTTTGTAAAATTATGCGTAATTACACATACAACATATTCTCATTGTAAATGCTAAAGTCCTACCTGACCTGCCTTCTCCCAGTTCCAGCCTCCACTTCAAAAATAATCTCTCATCAGTTTTAAACTGTTTTCCCAAAATGTTAGTTTGAATTTTTTTCTATGCATTTGCAAACATGAATATATGTATACAAGGCAGTATCCCCGGTTTTCTCTATTTTTTTACTTAAACATATTATTAATATGAATTTTTACACAGTTTTCTCATTTAATGTCTTTTTTTCACTTAATATGCCTTCAAAATCTTTCCTTCATATCACTTCAGCTTATTCTATTTAACTCTTGCACCATTTTTTTGGTGTATTATAATTAATTTCATTATTTCTTTTTAATGGACATTCCAGTTGCTTTCAATTTTTAAAAAATTACAAGTAATACAGTAAGAAACATTCTAGCACTTGCATATTTGTGTGTTTCTGCTGGTATTTCTCTAGGACAGATACCTAGAAGCAAGTCCAGTGGTGGGGTCAAAAGGTATATAGAGCTCTTACTTTAATGCGTCCTGCAAAATCACTCTCCTAAAAGCCTCCATCAGTTTTCACTCATGCAAACAGTGCATGTGTACATGCTAAAATCTCTGGTAAATCTATAGTTTTAACTTTTGCTGAGCTGCAGTGCAAAGATTGTGTCTTAAGTTTGGTTTAATTGTCTTTCTCTCTTTACAAGTATAGTAGATGTTCTCTTCACATGCTTCTTGGTCTTTCAGTTTTCCTCTTCTACGAATTGCCTGTTCATATCCTTTGCCCATGTTTCTTTTGGGTTAAGGGAAAACGTTGTCAGTGTGCTACAGTCTTTCTCCTTTCCTTCGTCATGGAGAGGGCAGGAAGTCCTTTCTTTATATTCAAGCCACAAAAGGGGGCTAGGGAAATGTGGCTTCAAGATCACTTAGTGATTTGGGGAAACAGGGACTGATAACTGGCTCACTCATGAAAAACTGAAAGATGAGAGGACAGTGGGCACAGGTGAGTGAGAGAGGGCCTCAGGGAGATTCAGCTACCCTCAAATAATAGCTGGACAAGGATGCACATTACTCATGGGCCCAATATGGACTCTGCAGGAGGGAATTAGACATGAATCATCTTGCAGAGGCCTTCTGTGGGAGTGTTTCCTGCCGGGTGATGCCACCTCAGCATCACAGGAAGCAGGACGTGCAGGTAGTGATAGCAGGCAGCCAAGGAGCCACGATTCCTTGGCACTGGGGTAAGAGAACAGACCTGCAGTGGAAGCGTCTGTGAAGAAGCCATAAATGTCTATGTCTTAAAAGGGAAAGACCAACAGACATTTGTAACCTGCCAACCCCAGAGATCACCAATGCCAGACCACAACTGTACCAGCCAGGTAGGACCTTTCTTTACCTTCCACCTCCTCTTCCCTCCCACCATGACCCTCACATCCCAGCCTTGTAAGGAGCACAAACAGCATCCAGGGGTTAGAAAAGAGCAAGAAAAAGAGAAGAAACTAATGAGCATCCCTAGCTCCCCGTATTTATGAGTTATAGATGTCTAAGGTCCAAGTTGGGGGAGGGTAGAAGTTTAAAATGGGATGTGAGTCTAAAATTCTGGTCTTTTCCTTATCCAAGACTGATTGAAAAAATTGTGGAAATGGCTTGAAATTTTATTCATGAAGGGGAAGAATGGATTCACAGAGTGGATTTCCCAGAACAGTGAGAAAAAATATGAGACATGTGCTCATGTCTCACCAGGTCTAGCTCACTCATTGCAGTAGGTAGTAATCATCTATAGACAGTATCTTTACATGTTCTAAGCACTTACTATATTCCAAGCTCTACTATAAATACCTTATACTTGTTAGTTCGTTTAATCTTCACAATACCTCTGTGAGGTAATTCATCTAATATTTGTTTTGTAAATGAGGAAACTGAGGCACAAAGTGGCTAAGAGATTTGTGCAATGTCACAACCAGACACTGTAGTTGGAATTTGGACACAAGCATTTGGAAGTAGAGCCCATACCCTTGCCTATTACATGATTTTCAAGGAGATGCACTTATTACCTGATTGATTAAGGGGAAGAGATTAGAGGAAAGTAAGAATGAAGGAGACAAGGGGAGAGTAATGGAAAGGGAAGGTAATGAGAGTGGGAGGAGAAATGAGAGAATGATAGAGGACCATGCTTGGCCATGAATGGCACTCAGGGAAAACATGCTATACCCCCAACGAGGAAGATACTGTATCATCTTGATTTATGATGAGTTCGAAGGCCAAGATACAATATCTCATATAGTAGCTTTGGAACATACCGAAAGTTTGCATAGTTTGGGACCAATAGAAAATATTGATTTTTCCTCCTAATCTTACCCAATGTAGAAATGCCATTGCTTTGGGAAGAAAATGGTACTAAAAATAGCAACACAATAACAATAACAAATGAAATGACCTAGTAAATTTTAGGTTAAAACTCAATGTACTGATTATACAAAGATTCTCACTATATGCTTTTCTGACTTTCTTGAACAGAAATGGTAGCTGTTTTCTAAGTGCAAATTAAAAAGCAACAACAACAAAAGAAAATATCATTTGACACTCCATAAAGGAGGGCTAGATTGGTAAAAAGAAGGAAGGTTTCAGAGAAAAAATAGAATTAGAATGTGCTATACTAGAGGAAGAAACTTGAAAACAAAACAAAGCAATGAAATGCTAAAGGTCATAATCTTGGCTTTTAAAAAGGCATGCTAGGATAATTTACTATCAATTACTTGGTGCAGAAAGATTATCAAAAGTTATGATCATACACATACATAAGGGGAGGCATTTAAATGTATTTGACTGACAAAATGGCAAGAGTCACCACTTAATTTTTTTTTAGATCCACCTTCAACCACTATTTCTAACCTTTACATTATCTCAAGTCAGAAAGCCAGGAAGAAAGAAAACAGAGTATGATCTTCAAGGAGATACAACCATTAGAAACAGCAGCACTCTTTTAGAGCACAAGTTCTCAAACTTTTTAGTCTCAGGAACCCTTTATATTTAAAAAAAGCTACTAAGGGCCCCAAAACGTTTTTGTTTATGCGAATTATATCTAACATTATTTACTGTATTAATAGTTAAAACTGAGAAATTAAAAAAAATTATTAATTAAAAAAACAATAAGTTCATGACTTATTAACATATATAACATTTTAAAATAAAAGTATACTTTCTAAAACAAAAAAAATTAGAGATTAGAGTGCCATTTTTCATAGTTTTACAAATTTCATTAATTTCTGGTTAAAAAAAGACAGCTAGATTCTCATATCTGCTTCTGTATTCAGTCTATTATAAAATCACACATCATGTAGCCTCTGGAAAATTACTTTCATGAGTAAAGAAAAATTCCTTCATATTATGATGAAATAGTTTTGACATTATAGACCCTCTGTAGTGTCTCAGGGACCCTCTAGGGTTCCCTAAACTGGATTAGACTTTGGAAACTGCTGTCTTAGAGCATCTCAAGACATAAAAAGAACAGTTTAAGAACTGAATATTAATGAGTAGGCATGCTTCCCTTTATTTTCAAACTGGATTTTAAATGAAATACACACCTCTAATCTCATCAAGCACTAATCTCATCACTTCAAGATCACTGCACTTAGAGGAGAAAACGAAATTAAGAGAAAAAAAATGCTCCACAAAATTGTGTGGTCATGGGAAAAATGTGCAAAGACATTTTATAACATTTTATAACATAGAAGAAGTAATAATGAAATATCTAATTACAGAGACACCTATCAAGATATTGTCAATTTGAGATACAGATAATTTAAATCATGGGGATTCAACATAAATAGATATATGCACTAGAAAACATAAGCAATATGAAAAGGTGGGGATGCAGACCCCATGTTGTTAGCTCTTCGGATTTTTCAAGGCAAGATAGAATTTCAGATTTTTTTGATGTGAAATATTCCAAATTTTAAATGTTGGCAACTAAGTTGAAAAATGTTAAACCTTGTAGAGGCCAAACAAAACACTCTGCAGTCTGATTTTTGCTTTAGAATTTAAAAGCAGCCTTGGCACTCAGTAGATGCCCGATATACATTTGTCAAGTGTATGAATAAATAGATGAATTTTTTTCTGATTCTGCTTCTTAAATTGAATGTTTACTGAGGTTGGTCTCCTAGCCTTCCCTTTTGCTGTAAATTCTCTTTGAGCACATTTATCTACTCTCTTCCCTTCTGCCACTTTTTACAGCATAAAAAGAGTGCAAATGAGGTTTTTTCTTTTAATTGTGTGATGGGATTATGATAAATGTGGCTTCAAGATCACTTAGTGATTTGGGGAAACAGGGACTGATAACTGGCTCACTCATGAAAAACTGAAAGATGAGAG